TGCTTTGTGGGTGCAATTTTATCAGTCATACTGAGCTCTGACAGGTGTTTCAGGTCACGGCTCTTAATGAGCACCCTGATGAATGCTTTCAAACCCATTTTTAGTCCCTTTATTTTGTTTGAATCGACCATTGACATTCTTGCTAAAGAATCTGCTAGTACCTGATTTTACTTTTTTCATTTTAGGTAAAAAGACATTTGGACACAATGAATTTTCCTATTTTGATTAAATCACCTCTAAATCTCAGAATATTCTAAGCCTGGTTATTGTCTGAAAACAGGATCTGACAGAGTTCAACACTGCTCACAACAAAAGGATTTCATCACTCGGCATAGAGGAAGGAAGTGCAAATTTAGCTGGTGTTACATCCCTGAAGCGCAAAAGGAGATCGTCTTTATCTGTTGCATTTAGAGAAGGAGAAGAAATTATAAATCCAGGTACATGTAATAAGTTGTATTAAAATGCTACTGTCTGTCAACTGCTTTGTTGGGTAATGCATCTGTGTAGGCTGCTGCAGTAAGGTTTAAAAATGCAGCAGAATTGATCATCTTGAAAAATATGCTGCTTAGCTAAGGGGCATACTTTACTAGTTCATAACTCCATAGATCATAATCTAATGCATTGTTAAATATGATCTGTGTACAGTACTTTATCTGTTAAAAAGTGGTTTCTCTATATTTCAGAGGACATTGATCCCACTGTAGGCAAGTTCAGAAACATGATTCAGACAACTGTTGTTGTTCCAACCAAGGTATGTTACAGAAGTGTCTAGAAATCTCTATATGACTTTCTTCTCTCATCCAAATACTAATGACAGATCAAACACCCTATACTTCTTTTACCACCACGTCTTCATGTTAATCATCATCAGACCTTCAATGTTTTTCTCAAAATCATTAATAATTCATCAAATTCATCAGTCGTGCAAAAAATAATAATAACTCCACCTTTCTAGCCTCCCCATCCCCCCCCCCCCCCCCCNCCCCCAACTCATGTACAATGTTTAAAACTAGTACCTGCAATTTATCCTGAGTTTCAAAATTGCACTGGGTGGAAAGGTGGGAACAACAAGGCATTTTTGAAAGGTGGCAGTGCTGTGTAAATCACTGATAGGGGTAAGTCTGCATATGAGCCAAGTGGCACATCAGGCCGGAGCTTATCCCAGTTTCTGTGGCTTGAAGCGACTAGGAATATTTCTCCTCCCCCCAGGATGGGATGCTAGTATGTCACAGGGTTACCTCCAGCATTACATTTGCCAGTACCAGTTTATCCACCCGGGTGGAAAGAGACACTGTGAGAATAAAGAGTCTTGCCCAAGAACACCACAATGACAATGTCCCTAGTCAGGGCTCGAACCTGGATGCTCAATCTGGAGACGAGCACCTAACCATGAGGTCACCACACCTCCCGCAAATCACAGATAATTCATTGCATTTTATCATTGTCCCAAGGACTTTTTTCCTGGCCATTGTACATAGCCTGTATGCTACTAAGACTGAGTAATGTTCATCATTCTTTGAGCTAAAAAGAGTTAATTGTTGACTTTCACAGAAAATACGAGGACCAGTTTCTCCTGTAGGGAGTCTCACAGAGAACATTACTCGTCGTCTTCAGAGCTTCCCTTACTCTCAAGGTCTGTACTCCAATCTACCAGGAACAGGAGTCACTCCTGACCCTACAAGTCCTACCTCACCCACAACACAACACAAACCTCGAATGTCAATCACCTCGGCACCTGAAGTCTCATCTCCAACGCTGCCGAGTGTTCCTGTACATCACGCACCAGAACCTTTACCAGCTGGGCCAGTTATGCAAAATGCTACAATGACAATTGCCGAAGCTCCTAAAAAGAAATACGCTAAAGAGGCGTGGCCTGGCAAGAAACCAACACCATCATTACTCATCTAGTTATTTATTAAGAGAATTTTTAGCTGATTTTAAGAATCAGTGCCCAGGATGTACTTCCAGGTTATAGGAATACTGTTTTGTGGTAAGAACCATTGCAGATTTTATAAAGTGGAGTCAAGTGGAAGAGATCAGCACTGTAAATATCAAGTTCTTGCAAAATGGCTTTACAACAGACCTGGGCCAGTCATGTAATGATATGTTGCAAAGAACTTCAAACTGTGGATACCGTGGCATTACACGGCACTAGACTGATGATCTGCAACACAACTGAAGTTAATTTTTCTCATTTCACTGTATGTCTTTGTCATCTGCATGGCATCTTATTACTTGGTACTGTGTTTCTTGAGTACTAATTATGTCACCAGTTAAAGTTTGTGCTATCTAGAGCACTTTCTACTCGTACTCTTTACAACAGTCAAGTAAGAGCACAATTCTGTTTGTTAGAAGGTCTGATTTAATAGTTAGGCCTATGATGATCTTTTGTCCTCATCACTTTGATTGTCACGACCCTGATGCCTGGTGTCTCTGTGTTTTCTGTTCTGTTCACACGAGTGATTGCTCTTGTGCTCACAGAGGCTATTCTCATTGCAAAATGGTGTTGCAGAGGAACCACTATGTAACGAGGTCCTCGGTGTAACAAACAATGGAGTAGTTTTCAATTGAGTGTCAAAGGCAATCAGGCAATTACTTTGGTTTTGGTTTTACTGGGTTTGACATTGGCTGAGTAGTCTAATTGGTAAGCAAATGGTTTGGTTTTGGTCTTTTGACACTCAGTTGAAATCCGCTGTATTTCTTTGCCCCAGTAATAGTAAAATATATTGAAGAACTGCGCTTATCAAACCTCGTTACAGCGAACATATGTTGTCAGTCCCTTGGTCCTTTGTTATATTGAGGTTTCACTCAGGGGCATAGCCAGGATTTTTTAAAAGGGGGGTGGGGTGGTCACAGTGTGTCTAAGTGAGGGTACTCAGCAGATTGTCATGACATGTTTGCCCCCTGTGGTAGGTTGTTGCTTAAAAAGGCTTACAAGAGGGGGGGTCACAGGCACCCCAGGACCC